GAAATTCTCTCCGTACAAACGACTATCAGAATTAAGTCCTACATCCCTGAAATTCTCTCCGTACAAACGACTATCAGAATTAAGTCCTACATCCCTGAAATTCTCTCCGTACAAACTGATTTTAACGGGAGTTGATTTTTGAAGTAGAGGTCAGATCTTCACATAGGATAATTAGATTGTTTGTCAAGGATCCGCGTGCACTGTTTGTTTCTAATGCAGTGGTGTAGGAAAGACTTGCATAATGGGAATGCTCGACCAGACATGCAGTTTTTACAATGAGAGGTTGGAAGTATAAAGAGCTGCTAAAAGCAGCTCAATCTAGGGGGGTTCTGGGGGCATGACTCCCAGAAAATTAACCTAATAATATAACTTACAGTTGCTATATAAATCAAATGTGTAAAAGTTTGGGTGCTACAGCACCCCCTGTCCGATGCCTGTGTAATACCTCTCATCATCGTAAATTTCCAAGAATCAACCACGAAGCTCCCCAGTGGCACAGCGGCACCTCTGCGGACTTGTAATGCAAGAAACCGGGTTTCGATACCCGTGGTGGGCAGAGCACAGTTAGCCCTTTGTGTAGCTTCGTGCCGAATAACAAACAACAACAATAAACATGAGTTGGGCCACCGAGAAATTCAGAAGCACAAATCTTACTAGGTGTAGTTTTTTGTCCACATAAATAAAAATCAATTGTGTTAATTTATTGGACCAATCACCGAAAGCTCTTTTAACTGTTTCTACTTCAGGATGATTTTTTTTTCTATCTTTTTAAACAAAACTAAGATGCCGCACGTGTAAGCTAAGGCACCGTTTTCGATAAATAGGTCGACTAGGCCTAATTCTTTGAAATGGAAAGGTAATAGGATTCACCTATCCCTCGTGCGATTTAGTGGAGAGAGAGGAATTAATATAGAGATACGGGATCACTTATACCATTCTTCAACGTCACAGCCACGTTCTCAAAAATTTACAAAACATCTCGCTAATATTCTTAACGAACCATGAATGTGCTCGTAGCACCAGCGGGTAAATAGCGAGACTCACGTGCGTCCGTAGACACAGGGTAAGAATTAAGAAAAATGCTCACGCAATACTAGCTTGAATAATTCTTTTCGCAAGCCGAGCCCGAACTCTTTACCCTAGGGTATTCGGCATCCGACTAGCTGTCTCGCGCTTTCGGGTTTTTTAGAAATAACGTAAGCCACTTACGAAACAAAATACAGTTTTAAAAACCACGCATATGTTTACACATGTGTTTTATCGTCATCCCACCGTGCATAACGTCAACGTATCTCCTGTGTGGAATTTTCTAAAGTTGAACTCCAATATTAAAATCAAGTTTCATATAAACTAACAACAGTCAAAGGTAAATATCGTTTCATTATCGCTGATCCGACATCTCGTGGAAATGTTCGTAGTTATCAACTAAAACATGGTATCTATATCTCGGCATCCATTACTGAGAAGCCAGTATTGACGGATATAATGTCTCGCCATCTTTTACTGAGAAGCCAGTATTGACGGATATGATATCTCGGCATCCTTTACTGATAAGCCAGTATTGACGGATATAATGTCTCGCCGATGGCGAGACATTATATCCGTCAATACTGGCTTCTCAGTAAAGGATACACTGAGAAGCCAGTATTGACGGATATGATATCTCGGCATCCTTTACTGAGAAGCCAGTATTGACGGATATAATGTCTCGCCATCTTTTACTGAGAAGCCAGTATTGACGGATATAATGTCTACACACACACCCATCTCCTTCCTCGGGCTGATGGTTAAGGCGCTCGACTCGGGTTCGAATCCCGTCACCGAACATGTTTGCCCTTTCAGCCGTGTGGGCGTAATAAATTATAATTATGAATATAATTAGATGGTCAGAAATGTCAGCTTGTGTAATACACTTAATATCTCTTACTGTTACGTTTCGTGGTAATGTTAATAACAAACACTCTAAATCACTTGTTTTAGACTAGAATTGATTTGTTTAGCCACCTCCAATTTTGAACCGATGGACTAGAGGGAGGGGCAGCTAGTCAACAGCACCCTCTTGACAGTTTATGGGTTACTCTTGTTGTCTAATTGGAAAGTGTCATTTGACCGTAACCTTTATAGCCCCCCCCCCCCGGCTTCAGTGTAAGAAGCGGACACGAGTTGCTTTTGCGGCAAAGGGACCCGAACCGTAAACCCCCCCATTCACAATCCAGGCATACTAGTTACTAGGCCATACTCGGCCCTAAACTTATTGCTGCTCAATAAGACAGTTTTGTATCATTTATGGATGGCGAGTCATTATGTCCGTCAATACTGGCTTCTCAGTAAAGGATGGCGAGTCATTATGTCCTTCAATACTGGCTTCTCGGTAAAGGATGGTGAGTCATTATATCCATAAATACTGGCTTTTCAGTAAAGTATAGTGAGACATTATATCCGTCAATACTGGCTTATCAGTAAAGGATGGTGAGTCATTATATCCGTCAATACTGGTTCTCAGTAAAGGATGCCGAGACATTCAAACAAAGCATAAGAATGTACGATATACATTGACAGGACCAGTGATTTGGTTTTACACACACGTAATGTTAATATGCTTATTATGGGATTTGTTTCACATTCGTTATATAAAGTATTGCTTGAAACTGACACGTATTTGGCCCGGCATGGCCAGATGGTTAGGGCGCTCGACTCGCAATCTGAGGGTCGCAAGTTCGAACCCCCGTCCCACCAAACATGCTCTTTATTTCAGCCGTGGGGTCGTTATAATGAGACGGTCAATCCCACTCACTATTCGTTAGTAAAAGAGTAGCTCAAGAATTGCCGGTGGGTGGCGACGACTAGCTGCCTTCCCTCTAGTCTTACACTGCTAAATTAGGGACGGCTAGCGCAGATAGCCCTCTTGTAGCTTTGCGCGAACTTCAAAACAAACAAACAAACAGACACGTATTTTACAGATTCTCAGGTCAGTTTCTCTTCCAATTTTTTGTCTTACATATTAGGTAAAGACCTGTTAACTATTGTCATTACCAGCAGAAAAAAATCTTCTTGTCTTATATATATATATATATTATCTGGTATAGTAACTGTTTTATTAAACTGATCACAATTTATTGGACTCAAATATTTGCATCAAGTCGTGTTTTTTTTGGGGGGTGGTGGTGAATAATTGATGATCTTGTATATATATATATATATCCCCTTAGGATGCGAATAAAGCTGGAGGGGAGCGATAGTGCAGACTTTCAAAAGCTCAGAGGATCGGTTTCAGTGTCTTCGTATTTCGTGCTTGTCAGAGTGAGGAATCATCGGAGGATCTGATAAAAGTATAGCTAGTCAAATGTTAAGTAGGACAAATACAGTATGTATACAACGGCTTATCCTAAAATATCGCATGACCATACTTATCAGCCGCTTATCAAAACAGATTACATAAAATTATTTAAGGTAAGACAGTCCCAGTCCCAGACAGTCTCTAAGCTATATAAGATGTAGAATGTACACGACTGTCATTACGACTAGATATAAAATATGGTTGTATTTAACTGTGCACCGGATTGTCGTGATGGATAAGATAGATGTACGGGAGAGAGATCCAGAGACGTAAAGGTGAAGAGGTTCTTTTTTTTTTTTTTTTTTGGTTTAGAAAGGTTACTAATTTTTACTCATACTGTTGTACTTCCCGTTTAAGCTTTTAACTAAAACTTCAAAAATACGTAGAGTAAAAACACGTAGTAACTTCTGTAAAACGCGGCTGATGTTCAGGGAAGTCAGGGATGGTGACGTCCTTCCACCTCATTAACACTATTTCTTTTTAACATATACAGTGTGGAAATATACGTCACATGCAATCGCAAACATTGCTTTTTTTTTTTTGGTCAGTAGGTTTCGATCGTAAAATTAACTTAGCGACTTTTAAGTTTAGGTAATCCTATGTGTGCACTTACACAAAGTACGTGGAGTTCCAAATTTTCGGGAACTTACTATATTATTTTAACAACAGTTAAAATTTAACTAAAATTAACACACCTTAACCAGTGGTTATTGTTTTAGTTAATGAAGATCAAAAGCCAAACGGCCAAAACGAAAAATTAAAACATTAAGCTAACGAAATAAACACGTTTAAAAACTAGTGCTATTGAAAATCTGTGGTTTTTGTTCAGCAGCCATTTTTCAGTATTATATCCGCCGATCAGCTGATTGTACCGTGCTGTAGGTGGGTAACAGAGCTAAAAGGGACGTTTGTACAGTGCGGTTTTGCCGTTTGCTTCACCAACTGTGTGTATTAGTTCATTTAAAATGTTAGGATTGTTTATTTATTTATTTGCCCCGTTGTTTATCGAACCTAACTTAAATGGAAAACGTTGAACACATAAACAAACACAAAATAAATCGACAAAAATACCCAGTGTTTCATTCCGTTTTATGCTCGGGCAACAGTTTGTTGTCACATCATAAATCGACAAAAATACCCAATGTTTCATTCCGTTTTATGCTCGGGCAACAGTTTATTGTCACAGCATAAATCGACAAAAATACCCAATGTTTCATTCCGTTTTATGCTCGGGCAACAGTTTGTTGTCACAGCATAAATCGACAAAAATACCCAATGTTTCATTCCGTTTTATGCTCGGGCAACAGTTTGTTGTCACAGCATCCCGGAACGAGGCGGTGATCACATTCTCCGATATAAGTTCACACGTGTGTGTGGTCGAATTCGAACTTAGTTTGCCGTAAAAATGTTGTTCTTTATTGTCGAAAATGGTTCCAAAAACTGCCGGAACGCCGTCCCGGCTACCAAAGTTAGCGCCGAAACGGAGTTGCGGTGAGTTTCGCTACGACTCGAGCGCTTCCAGTTATTCTAAGATCCACAGCCTATTGATGATTTTGAGATTAAAAGCTGCAGACAGTATATATATATATAGCAGAAACATGTTAACTAATAATACAGGGTAATTTATCGTTGTTAATTCAACACCTGAAATCTATATACTTACAGCCATCGCATCTCTGCTGAAGATGTGGTACAAAAAATCAGAAATAGAAATCCAGCTTTCATCAAAGGAAACGTCATAGTGGTTGTACGTTTTAGTACAGGTGGGCAGATTAACACCATCCGGTTATCCTTACGTGTCTAAAGTACGGCCATAAAACAATGAACACCACAAAACTGGATTCAGTGGATGGTAAAATAGCTCCGTTGGTCAGATCATTTCATCATAAAAACTCCGAGTTTTTCACGATATAAACAATCCCCGTGTATGGTATAACAACAGCTAGTGGCTTCCTTGTCTTCTGCTGGCCAGGTCCTATTTCCAGCCCTCCAAACCCACACACACACTCACTGAGCGAGCGTCTTACTCAGCCAAACTCTCTTCGTGCTAAGAAGGGTGCCCAGGGACTGCTTGGAGGAGGGGATCGAGAGAAACTGTAGACCAATCAAATTACGTGAAGCGCCCTCCTAACTGCCGCCAAAAGACCCCGAAGTGTTAGTGTTTCAAAGTTTTTGTTTTTGTCCACGAGATTAAAACAATTCCAAAAGGCTAATAGAATGTTATTTCAATGTGGATTTGGAAGTTGTTCTGGTTAGTGGTGTTTTTTTTTGTGGGGGGGAGGGGGGATTTTTCCTTTTAAAACATCCAAAATGACTGCTCTGTGGAATATTTAATTGTACAGATATATTCAATCAAACTGCATCATTACCACACAGTGCGGGAACAACGTGGGTTGTTTTCCAATAGCCTAGTTATAAAGAAATATTTTTTTTTATAGTTACAGTATTTAATATTTTAATAGCCAACATATGGTAGTGGGCCTAGTGTGAAACCAAACTCCAACACTGTCCGTTAGAAGTATCTATCTTTTGGAACGAAATTAAGAGCAACGGAATTAGACTCCCACCGGTCACAATTTCAGTCTCGAAATAACAGAAACCTGACCAGGCCGGACCTTCAAAAGGGTCAGTTTAGCCTGAGGGTTCGGCCTACTGCAAACTATTGGTTTTTCTAGTGTATGATCCCCTGCTGCGGTCCTTCGTTAGCTGATTGCTTCGGCCTTGCCAGTGACTGGTACGTGCATGGAAATATAATGATATTAGTCTGAACGTCTCATAAGAAGAAAAGGCTTGGTCGTGGCTTGCTTTGATGTCTGTAAACTTTAAAAATTCAGCTTTATACTTCGACGTGTATTTAGCGAAATTAAGTGAACTATCAAGAAAAGATCCCTCCGCCAATTTTTATCTCTAACGATAACACTTCGGAAAATGGGTGAAGTATTAATTAAGGTCTCGTTACTATTAGTTTTGACAGATAACAGGGAAAAAATCAATGTTTTATTTACAGTATTATGACTGTAGCAAGCAGAACAACATCATCAATAGCGTAATAAGTACAACTAGAACAATGTCATCAATAGCGTAATAAGTACAACTAGAACAATGTCATCAATAGCGTAATAAGTACAGCTAGAACAATGTCATCAATAGCGTAATAAGTACAGCTAGAATTCTAGCTGTACTTATTACGCTATTGATGACATTGTCTAGCTGTACTTATTACGCTATTGATGACATTGACAATAG